CCCGGGGCCCTGGGATGCGGCTCCCTCTCCGTGTTTCCTCTCCGGTGTTACACATGGGTTCCTGGAGCTGGAAGTCTGTGCCCACCCTCCCCGTCCCCCTTGGCCTCTGCCTGTGCCCAGGCACCGCTGGCATGGGTGCCTTTCGCTCACCTGCGCTTGCTCGGTGGGTGCTGGGAGCCGGGTCCCTACAGGCAGCCCGGGGCAGGCAGGGGACCTCACCTGGGCATGCTAACCTGTCCAAGGACGCTGGCGTTTTGTCTTGTGTTTATTTATTTACTTATTCATCTTATTAGTACTTTTGTATTATTTGCACTACCAGTGACTGAACCCAGGACCTTCGTGCGGAGCTCCATCTGTAGCTCCTTTGCATGTCTATATGTGTCAGCCAGGCGCTGCCCAGGCTGGGGAGTTGCGATCGTTCTGCCTCAGCCTCCCAGAGTTCTGGGAGGACAGTCCTGCCCCAGGATGTTTAGTGAGGACCCAGCCTGGTGGGTGCCTTGCCCAGGGAAGGTATGGGCCTGGGCTGGAGCGGGCCCCTTGCTGGAAGGGGGTAGAATGGAGTGAAAACAATGAAACAAAGCTGGGGCAGGAGCTGGGTGCGGTAAGGCTGAGGCTTTGATCCGAGGATCCGGGCACCTGGCTAATCCCGAGCTCCTGGAGCCAGGCGCACACGTGGTGTCCCAGTTGTGTCCTGGGCCAGCCCCAGGGAGTGGCCCAGAGGCGGTAGGGCAGGATGGACAGAGGGATGGTAGCGGATGTCTCCCTGCTCGGACTCCCCCCGGGCAGCACGGCCTTATTAATTTGTGGTGGGGAATTCCCCGACACGGCACAGTACTGGGGGTGGAACCCAGGGCCTTTGCACAGAGCCACACATCCCCAGCCATTTTTCAGTTTTTATTTGAGACAGGGTCTCCCTAAGTCACTGAACTGCTCAGGCTGGGCTTGAACTTGAGGTTTTCCTGCTTCAGCCTCCCAGAGTGCAGGGCTTCCAGGCGTGTATCACCACGCCTGGCTGCGTGCACACCTGTGTCTGCACACATGGATCTGTCTGTGCACAGGCACACAGACGTGTGTGCGTGTGCATGTTTGTGTGCACACAGGCTGGTGTATATGTGTCTTGCTGGTTTCTGAAATGGAAAAAGTGGGGTTTTTGCTTTGTTTGGTTTTTTTTTTTTTTTTTTTTTTTTTTTGCTTGATTATATACTGAATGTGTCTGAAAAAGTTCACAAGAAATTCACAGTACTGTCTGCTTGTAGGGAGAACTGGGTGGCTGCAGGACAAGGATGCACGCACTCTTGCTGTCATTAAAATTTTTGAGATGGGGTTTTGCTTGTTAGTATGTTGCCCAGGTTGGGATGGAACTGCCTCAGCCTCCCAGAGTGCTCACCCTCCAGAGTGGTTTTTTGTTGTTGCTTTCTTCTTTCTGTGGCAAATCGTTTTCCCTCTGCTTTCTGTGCTGAGCTCTAGACTGTGGGCCCGGCGTGCCGCCGGACGGCTGGGATCGCAGCCCTTGGAATTCCTTGTATTTGTCAAATCCTTTTTTATTTTGTTAGAGCCCTGCAGCCGAAATAGCCTCCGGAGAAACAGAGAGGAGGAGTGAGTTAGGTGTGTGAGGAATGTGGCTGGGCCTGCACAGGTAAACAGGGTAGCTCTGCGGAAAGGCTGCTTTCCGAGGCCTGTGGGGGTTTCCTTTTCCTTAGGAAAACACTAAGGGGCTCTGGGCTCTCTCTGGGAGGCCAGGCCCACCCCCAGGCTCTGCACAAAGACACAGTGTTGCTGCAAATGCCAGGAGCAGTCTGCAGTTTCCAGCCCCTCTCGGGTGCACCTCCCTCCCGGCAGGGTGGCAGTGGCCTGTGGACCCCGCTTGGCTGTGCTGCTTTGATTTGCCCTGCGGGGTCCACACCCCATGCAGGCGGTGTCTCCTGCACCCCATTTGCTCTGGGGACACCAGACCCGGATGACCTCCCCACCAAAGGGGCCCCACACTCCCGGCCCCTTTCATCAGGGGAGACGGGTGCCCCACAGCCCTGCCCGCCGGTGGGAACCACTAGCCTGTGGCTTCCCCAGGGGGCTTCGGTGTGGCCACTCCGGGTTGAGCTGTCCTTGGCCCGGCTGTGTGGTTCTGAGCGGAATGAAGGCTGGAGCCCACGGTGCCTGTGTGTTGCACCCTCCTCGCCATCCCTGGGCTGAGCTTTCTGCCGGCTCCTCGGGGCTCGAGCTCTGTGGCATCATCGGCTGTGGACCTCGGCAGTGTCTGTCCCTTCTGTGGTTCAGCCTTGGGGACAGATGGATAGCACAGACACGGGAAGGGGTGTCCCCGACTCCGGCCCTCCCTCCCGAGCTCTGAGCGGTGTTCTGGGCCTGTGTGAGCCAGTGGATGGGCTGCTGGACTCGAAGGTGGTAAGGGCAGAGGAGGGAACTGAGGCTGAGTGAGGGTGGAGGTGAAGACCAGCAAGGTGGGTTCCGCAGGGTGAGATGTGGGGTCAAGAGGAGCTGGAAGAGATAAGGGAGCTGCAGGAATGTGACCTTAAGTGCAAATGTCCTGCGGTCACAGGCAGGAAGCAGTTTGAACAGGCTGGAGGGGAAGGGCCAGGTCATGGGGCCTGTGGACTGTGTCTAGGGTATAGGTTCAAGGTGAGGAGGCCTGGCTGTAATGCTGTCCCTCCCCAATGGGTCTTGAGCCCCAGGTGAGTTAAGGGATGGGGGTGGCTGTGTGTTTTGGGTGGTAGGAGAGGCCTGGGCTTGGGAATCATCAGGCTGCGTGCAGGCTGGAGGGTGACAGCTGGCTGGGGTATACACGTGATGGGATAGGATGTGGGGCTCAGCAACCGGGCGGAAGAGCCTCCTTGAGGGGAACTTCCTGAGTGGGGCCTAGCACAGGTGTCACGGGTGGCCACGGAGCAGCCATAATGGCGCCCAGCACAGCTCCCTGGCTCTGGGAAAGGCACCTTGGGGATCCGGGGAGCCGGGGTCTGGGTGTCACGACTGCAGCTGTGGCACATCTGGAGTGGGGCAGGGCTGCGCCACCTGGGGTCCCCTGCCCCACTGGGACCCGAGGGCCTGGCGGCTGAGGGGTGAACAGGGGCTGGAGGAGCAGCCCTGGGCCTGTGGCTGTGGGGTCCTCACTCCCCGGCTCTCTGCTCTCCCATCGATATCACCATGGGGGGCCAGGGGCTGGGGGTCCCCACCTGCAGAGCCCAGCCTGCTCCTGTCAGCCTCCGACCCTGGGCCTCTCCCTCCTCCGCTTTCGTCCCTTGTCTTCCTCCTCCTCTTCCCTCTTTTTCCCCTTCCTCCTCCTCCTGCTCCCCCCTTGCTCCCCCTTTTCCTTTCCTTCTCCTCCTCCTCCTCTTCCTCCTCCATCCCCGGGAGCCCCGCCCAGCCTTATGGTATCTCTTCCCTGCCCCTCCTGGGAGGGCCGGGTTGGAGGCTGACTGAAAGGGAACCGGAAAGGGCTAATCGCAGATTCAAAGGGGGTGCGGCGGGGGTGTCGTCGCCTGACCCGGGCGCAGCTGCTCCAGTGCTGACTCAGGGGACCCTGACCTGTGCACGTGTGTCGGGACACGGAGGGCGGCACAGGCGACAGGCAGCGGGGACAGCGTGGCCGCTCCCCGGACGAGCTGGGAGTTGGGGCTCAGTGGCTGGGGGAGGGGTGCCTGCACACACACCTGGGGCAGTCCAGTGACAGCCACATGACCTTGGGGTCTGGGGTCCTGTGTTGTCATGGGGCCAGGCGTTTTCCTGACCCCCAGGTGGACAGCACCGGGGAGGTGCCCAGGGGAAGGGGATGGGGTGGCTTCTCCCCTGGGCTCCATCTGGGCAAGGACGGCAGCGGCCGGTGACGGGGCACCCATGGGCGCTTGTGGTCTGTGACCGGGCCTTGAGCCCCACGGTGCTGTGGGCTGGACCAGGGCCCCTGGGCAGAGTGGGCCTCCGGGAGTAGTGGGCAGGGGCTGTGGGAGCCGCTGCCCCGTGGCCTCCTCGTGTGGACAGGTGGGTGTCTGTCCACCACGCTGGGGAAGGGGCTCAGGGGGGCCGGATGGGGTTCAGGGAGGCTGGGCCACCATAGTGCCTTCCCTCGCAGCCTCTGAGTGGGGGACAGCAGGGTCACCCCGCATGTCCGGCCCTCAGCCCAGCCAGCAAGACTGGCTCTTTGGAGGCAGGGGTCCCCAAGTCCCAGGGCAGCCAGGTGGGTTGGTGACTTAGGAGCCCCCGTCTTGAAATAAAAAACAAACAGGGCGGTGGGGTGTGCGGCTCAGCTGCAGAGGCTGGGGTTCCGGAGCAAGCAAAACAGAGCTTCAGGAATTCTGCCGCTAGGCCCCACACTGCTGATGGAGCCCGCCTTTCGGTTCTGAGCCATCACCTCCTGGCCCGAGCTCTGGCCCGGTTTGCGGGGAAGGGGGCGGTTAGGTACACAGCATCCCCCTCCTCACACAGCCTCCCCAGAAAGGTTGGGGGCTGCTTAGGGTTTCACCGTCCCGCTTAACAGAGCAGGCAGCTGGCCCAGGGAGTTGGAGGGGAAACCTGCAGACACACAGCACCCAGGGCTGGGGTCCCCAGGCCCTCGGTCCCCCCGCCACTCCCGTGCCTCTGTCCCCAAGTCCTAGTCCAGCAGCTGATCCAGCTTTGCCCGCGCTGTGTGTGGCAGCTGCAGTGAGGCAGCAGGGGCCCCGCTGGCCTGGCTGTCCACACACGCTGGTCCCTGCCGAGCGGAACTGGGGGGACTGTGGGGGTCTGGGCCTAAGTGGGGCCTTGTCTGGGGATGCTGGGACAGACCTTGCAGGCCTGTCACAGGACCCTGGGAAGTGCACCAGGTCCCCACCTGGAGCCCCTGGCCTGGGGCAGTAGCATGATGCTGTGCCTTTCCCCTTTCAGTTAGGTTAGGTTTGAGAATCTAAGTTTAAAACTGAAAACAAACATTTGCGGTTTTTTTCGAGATAGGGTCTCACTGTGTAGCCCAGGCAGTCCTCACATTTTCTCAGTCCTCCTGCCTCAGCCTTCTGAATGCTCGAATTCCAAGCATGTGCCACCACGCCCAGTAGTTTTGATTCACATATAGGAACTGTCCGAGCTTGTGTACCGTTGGTTGTATAAATACCATGCGGTTCCCACGCTGTGGACAGTGCTGGGGATGGCACAGGGCCTCCTGAACTTGGAATTGTCCCTGCTGAGCTGCTACCCCAGCTCCAGTGCCAGGTTTCAGTCCAGGTGGACATTGTGTTCCGACCCAGTCAGGGTAGTTAGCATCTGTCGCCTTTGGTGCCATGCACGATCCTGCAGCTCTTTAGAAATCCAGTCCTCAGTGCTGGCTGTGATCACCCTGCACTCGTTCCTCCTGAGCAGTTTCACACCCATGGGCAGCTTCTCCCCTCCTGTCTAGCCTCTGGTACCCATTTGTCCACTCTCAACTTCTCTGAGACCTGCTTTTCAGACTCCACTTGTGCGTGTATCTGGTTTAATGACCTCAGTTCCCTCCGTGATGCCACAAATGCCAGGATGCCATCCCTCTTCACAGCTGCATATTATTCCACAATGAGCATGTACCACGTTTTCCTAGCCTTTCATTGGCCTATGGACACCTATGTTAATTTTATCTCACCCAACAGCGCGGGCTTTGAGGCTGAGTGGTGGTTCTGCTTTCTGAACTCTATGTCCTTGGCTCTGGTTACAGAGTCACTGAGACTTCTCTGTGGGGAATGAACACACTCCTGCCCCTGCGAGGGGCTTTCCAGGCTCCCCGAAGTCTGGGCCACTGCCGGGCCTCGGTGACTGTCTGGTTTTCCCCTGGTGTCCTAGAAAATGCTCACCTCAGCAGCTCAGTGTCCCATTGGACAGGATGCTGGGCTGGTGAGGCTGCAGGACCCTGACATCCACTGTGTCCCCAAGGGGGTGGGACCTTCCCATGCCTTTGATGTGCAGCCCCTCCCCTGACAGCCGATGGGGGCTGGGGAGGGGGCTCCAGCCCTTCCCACCTCCCTAACGGAAGCCATGGTTTCCAGCAGGGAGGGAAGCAGCTGAGGCAGGCGGGTTTTGCAGAGCGAGCGATTTCTCTTAACTTCCTGACATGGGAAGGGAATGGGGACATGGGGGAGCATGAGGCCTCGAAGCGGTGCAGGGGAGGGCAGAAGCCACACCTGGCCCTGAAGAATCCCTGCAAGGCGACGGTCACAGAGTGCAGCTGGCTTGGACCTGGCCTCGGCCGCCTTGCTCTGCAGCTGCAGCTCCTGGGCCCCTCCCAGGAGAATCGGGGGATCCTTGCTGCAGGCCTGTGTCCCCATCCTTGGTCTTTGTGTCCCTGTGGCCCCCAGCCCTGTCCAGCAGGTGGTGGTGGTGGTCTGGCACAGGCTGGCACTGCAGGGAGGCAGAGGAGCAAAGAAAGGTCTGTGCCTGGCCCTGAGATGGTAGACTGCTGCCCATTCTGCGGTGCCTGCAGCTGACCATGAGGGAAGGCTGGGTTTGGGTCCCTATTAGGGTTTGATCTTGCTGCCCCCAGAGCCTCCTGTGCTCGAGCATTAGAGGGTGCCAGGCAGAACTGCTCTTAGGAGGCCTGATTGGAGGAGGCCGTCCTGGGCCGGGCCTGAAGGAGCTGTCTCTCGGCGCCTCACTTCTGCTTCCTGTTCGCCCTGAGGTGAGCAGCTCCTCCGCCAGGCCCTGTCATGGAGTCAGGGGCCATGGGTTGAAATGTGAGCCAAAGTAAATCTGCCCAAACGGGGGTATTGTGTCCTAGCGACACGAGGGTGACTGAGACACATCTTTCCCCATCCTGACACCCCAAGACCCAGGGAAGGGTCTCAGCTTTCTTCATGTGCACTCCGAATTGACCAGACCTCCTGAACGGCACCGGTCTCCCCCACCTCCTCTTCCATGGACCTGTCTCCCTTGTGGACCCCAACATTTCCAGGTGAGTTCCAAGGGACGGTGCAACCTGCTGTGGCCCTCACTTGGCCTCTCTCACGTTCCTGTGGCCCCAGGGCCTCCTGAGGGTAGAAGCCTGTCTGTGTTCCTTTGGGACAGGCCAGAGCCTCTGCTGACCAGGATCCAGACTGGCTGGGGTCAGGTCTCCTGCCACTACTTCTGGCCCCCCACTGGCCTCCAAGCATTGTCCTTCTCAGGGTCCCAGTGCACCCTGCATTAGCTCTATGGTCCCTGTTCCCACAGCACCCCACGTGTGCTCCACATCCTGGCCCGGTTCCTGGAGCATCTGCCCTCCTGCAAGTCACAGCCCAGTTTGAGTTTTGAGACAGGGCTTCACTGGGTAGCCCAGGCTTCTCCTGGGACTTGTGGTGATCATCCTGCCTCAGCCTCCTGTGCACTGGGATCACAGATGTGCACCACCACATCCAGCTGGGACCTGGATTTGGAGTCTTGTCTGTGCTCCCAGCTTGGCCTGGTTTTCTTCTCCAAGGTGGTGGGCGGCCCCTCCCTGGTCTCTGGCTTTTGCTGCCTCCCTTGGCTGTCTGGGTTGTGTCATCTGCAGAAAGAACATCAGGGGTGGTGGAAGCCAGGTGAGGTCCCTGATCTGGGAGGAGAGGCAAAGCAGAAGGAAACTGGAAGGGGGCGGAGACAGAGTACCACTGAGCCGCAGAGGCAAGGAGTCACCAGCAGGTGTGGGGTGCAGATCCGCGTGCACGTGGAGAAGTGAGCCCTGCACACCTGTCCCGAGCCCTCAGACTTCCACTCCCAGGGCAGGCGGCTGCATGGCTGGTACTGGGAATGTCTGGGGCCCTGCCCACCACTGAGGTCGCCTTCCTCCCCACTCCATGGCCTCGTGGTGGCTGTGCTGACCCTGCTGGCCTGGGGGAGAAGCATTTGCCACACTCACCCCAACATGTGATGGGGAAACGACTCGCTCTGAGGTGAGCACAAGACAGAGTCCGAGGCCCCTGTGCCCAGCGCAGGGATGGGGATGTAGAGACTGACCGAGAAGTATCTGCACAAATGAAGTTTTGAACACCAAGAACGTGGCACGGTGAATGGTGCGGAGCAGGAGCCAGCAGGGCCAGGAAGAGGCTGAGACGTGGGACTGGGTTGCAGGCGCTCCCCTCACGTGTGCCCCAGAGTGGCCTGGGAGGCGTTTGTGGTTCTGGTGTGTTGTAGCTGAAAGCTGAGTGGCTGAGATGGAGGCTGCTGCCCGGAATCTGCAACATGTGGTAGCCGTAAAGGCCCGAGGCCCACCCAGATGGCTTTTAGAACTGCACGTGGGCTGGGCCTCAGCTAGGACTGTGCCTCCTCAGGGCAGCCCTTTGGTTCCTCAGAAATGAGGCTGCCTCAGCTTCTTTCAGGAGCGAGATCTGCTTCATGCCTGACAGGAGACCGAGGGGAACTTCCGTGTGGGGGTCCTGTGCGCTCCACCTCCTGGCTTTTCTAAGTGACACCCTCCTTCCTGGGTTCCAGCCCCGTCCTTCCCACCATGGCATCTTCTCCTCCTGCATCTCCGGGTCTGGTTTCCCCCAAATCCGTTTTCTTTGATGGCCCGGAGTTGGCACTGGAGGGCGGGGCGGCAGCCCATGCCCAGGTACCTTCCAGGCTGCTGCCCTTTAAACTCTGCGTGAAACCCTCCTTGCTCCAGAGAGGCCAGGCCTCTTGTTTCTTTCCTTGAAGAGGCAGAATGGAAACAGTAACAACTTTGTGCTGTAGCTTTTCTTTCCTGATACACGCCCTGCCTGAGCCCCTGGCCCTGCGGATGCTGGGGGTTTGTTGGGTCCATGCACCAACTCCCAAGGCCTCAGGCCGCCGACGAGTGGCTCCTGGAAGCCCCCAGCCAGCGAGCTGGGGAGGCTGGAAACCCGGAGGAGGCGAGCCCGCCGAGCTCCAGCCCCCCCTCCGGAGGGCGGTCCTGCA